GCAAACTGGTAAGCCAGGGGAAGTCCCTCCTGGAAGAGTAAAAGCAAGGCATTGTTTGCTAGAAAAAGGATAAACAAGGAAAAGCTCGTGCGAAAGAAAACAAAAATAACAAATATAAAAGGCAGCAAATACGTTCCCCTCTCCCTGGAAAAAATCCGTTGTCTTTCAGTCAATAGTAAAATTAGAAAAATAAGGATAGATAGTAGATATTGACTTTGTGATACTAAGTGAGAGGAATTGAATTTGAATTTTAGTATTCTGACTTTAAAAATTAAAAATCAGAAAATCTGTTTGACATCCTAATTTTTGCTTTGAATTTTTACTGAACTATTAAATCCAAAAATATAGGAACCAGTTGATGCTGAAACGGATGGGAGTAGCATGAGTGAACACTGAAGCAGAGGCGTCAGGAAGAGCATCCTCAGAAGCTGTAAGACAGCGTGGCACGAAAATGACCCCTCTGTTGCGTCTCCAGTTCCGTGACAGATTAACACTGACTCTGACACCTTGGGAGCGATGCCTCCGTCAAGTTTGTTATCCATGAAATTAACATTAAATGACAAGAGTTGAACAGAGTAATGTTGAGAGTGGAATAATGTTACTATAGAAAGAAGATAGGTATTGTTTCCAAACATTCGAAGAGGTTTTAGAAAGTTGATATTCCAAATCAGAAATGTTATATAAGCGAATAGCCAGGTAACTTCACATAAAGTTGAAATAACATGAATAGATCACTGTTTAAATGGTGATCTTTCATGTCAGTCAAGAATTTTTATTCAACAGATTCATGAATATATGACTTTTATAATAAAAAGTATTTATTAAATATTGTTTATAGTTTGGACTGAGTTTATAGATAAAAGTTTATAAAAGTTTATAGTTTTTAAAATCTTAAAATCTTGAGTTTTTATATTCTTAAAGGACACATTTCAGTGGAAAAAGAAAAAAGAGTTCAAAGAATTATCTGGAAATTAGAATGTTTAAGGCCTAAATTCCCAAATCAGCCATGTTCAGATGACTCGATCAAAATGCCATTTAAAGAGATCAATAATTTAAAATGGCTGGTTATGTAAACAGATCTGAGCAAATTTCAGATTTATCAACAAGAGAAACGAAGAGAAAGAAAACAAGAAAGGGGAGGAAAAAAGACTGAACAGAGGAAGTTGCTAAGGACAGCACATTGCAGAGCAATAGTAAATTTGGGGAACAATGAGCTGTTTGTTCAGGTGGGTAAACGTGTATGTCTGCATCTGTTTGTTTGTGTGAATAATATATGTTTGCTAAAACTTGAAAATGTTTGACATCATTCTTAAAAATAACTGCTTCGCCTGTAATCCCAGCACTTTGGGAGGCCGAGGAGGGTGGGTCACCAGAGGTAAGGGATTGAGACCAGCGTGGCCAACATGGTGAAACCCTGTCTTTACTAAACATACAAAAATTAGCCAGGTGCGGTGACACATGCCTGTAATCCCCCTACTTGGAAAGCTGAGGCAGGAGAATCGTTTGAACCTGGGAGGCAGAGGTTGCAGTGAGCCGAGATTGCACCACTGCACTCCAGCTGGGGCAACAGAGTGAGACTCCATCTCAATAATAATAATAAATCGAAATTTTATTAAAAGTGAAAAGAAGGTTTTCTCATAAAACCATTTCTGTAGCTCACTCACTTGTAGAAACCATGTCTTTTTATTTGAGCCTGGCAGTTTGAACCCATTGTTAATTTTTCATCTAAAAAGTGATGTAAACAAATGTATATATTAATGATAAGTTTGCAACCTAGGCATTGTCAGGGCTGTGGTAGGGCATGTAGGACCATTAGACAGTCTCTTCATACAGATAAACCCTGAAATGTAGAGAGCTGATCTCACACAAAAATGAGTGTCTTGTATCTGAGGTTGCGAGAAAAACTAATAGAACACGCAGAGGATTTTGCAGAATAAATGATGAATACTGAAGTGTAGAAAAATAGATAGAAGACAAGGTTGGAATTCGGGGCAGAAGACTTAGATGTGAGTCCCACTCTAGAGGTGACTGGAAGCTGCACAAATCAACAAGTTCCCGAGATGAAGGGCAAACTGAAGAAAGAACTGGGCAACCACCAGTTCCAGGCAGGGTGCACACGTAGGTGGCCAAAAGTAGAGGAGATGCAGACGGATATTGACACCAGAGACTGAATAGAGGAAAGCCTGGCAGGGACCAACTTGAAGCTGTAAGGAGGGTCAACTGCCTTTGGCCAGTGGAAAGCAAAGACAGCCGGCTCAGATCTAGCCTTGGTCCTTCTGCTAACTTCAGCTGTTCTCTCTAACTGGATGTTCTCATCAGTTAACAAACTGAAATGGACCTGCCTTGACTTATTTCCTAATGCCTTATGAGGAGTATTTATTATATCGGGTATTGGGATTATCTTTCTGAGTCTTCTGAGGAAAGGTAATTCCCATACATGTTAAAATTCTATGTGAACTAAGCAATTATGATTTGTTCTCTATTTTGCATGTAAATATAAGTACTTGTGTAGATCACTGGTCCAAAAAGAGCAGGGACAGTAGTCACTGGCTGAAGATTCAAGAGACATGGAGAAGAAAAATGAGAAAATCCAACTGGCCAGCACATTGAGCCTCTGCCGGAGAACTTTCTGCACTGAGTGCCCCCGGACCCAGTTCCCTCTCTGGGTGTCTGTCTTGGCAGACAGCTCAAGAAGAGCCCTCCAACTAACCCCTTTTCTCCATGACCAGAATCCTGAAGGTTATTAGTGGCTCCTGCTGCCGTCTGCTCCTTGGATAAATGCCAGGGGAGCCATTCACTCTAGTGGTTATCAGTCAGTTCTTGTAGCCATGGTCCAGACCAGTCTTTCAACAGACACACGTTGTGTTATTAAAGGTAATGCATGAAATATCTTTTAAAAGACCCGGAGATGCCAACAAATGACTCAATATAACTCTGAAAGGATTTCGGAAGACGGATGAGTCTTTACAGCTCTAATTTTCAACAGTTAGCTTGAATCATTTCAACAGCGTCCATTTTTTCCTCCTCAAGAAAAGCATTTAGTATAAATGTTTTTTGTTTGTTTTTTATTTTATTTTTTCCATCAACATGTTCTGAGTATGCATCTACTCCGAGACCAGACGCTGTTTTACACCTAGAAGACCCAGCAATGCCTAGAACAGACACAGTCTTTCCTCTTGTGAAATTTACATTCCAGTCAAAAAAGGAATAAATTAGACAAATAGATAGGTAAGGTAATTGCAGATAGTGTTAGGTGCTGTGAAGAAATAAAACAAGGTAAAGAGGCAGGGAGTGATTCTGAGGAGAGACGTCTGAAATGAAGTGTGAAAAATGGAACAGAACAAGCTGTCTAAGTGTCTGAGAGGAGCGTTTCCGTCATAGCAAAAGCAAGGGTAAGCCTGAGACTATCTAGAGCAACAGTGGCGGTGACAAAATGGCCTGGGTGGCACGAAGTGGGCAATGTCAGAATGGCAAAAACTGTGCGGAGGAGGCAGGCAAGCATGGAATCATTTAGAGCCCTGGGGACTATGGAAAAATCTAGAATTTACTCTATGGGCATTGAACTCACAAAGATATGGAAGTGTCCTAACAAAGGATGACTTAAGCTGATTGACAGGTTAACCCTCCCAGTTTTTACATGGCGGATTCATTGCAGTGGAGCAGAACTCTGCTATACCGTGCTCTCTCTGAATGACTGCAGGGAAGCGTGGTGCTGCTCTCCCTGGAAAAACAAGGCGTGAGAAATGCCTCCGTGTTCAGCAGGTCAAGGTAACGCCTCCTAGGACACAGCTTTTCAGTGAAAAGCAATCACTGATTTTCACTAGAGTCCTGATGAAGTCTTCGTTAAGTGTAACATATTTCTTCCGTTCTTCTACCTGAGGATGTCGCCTCTTCCTGTTATTTTAGCCAGAAGCAATAACAGTGTCCCGAGATGAGCAATTTGGGCAGGAGTAATAGTGTACATGTTCTCAAGTAGAGGCCTTTTGGAATGATTCAGAAATTGCAGCCAATCCTATAGCAACGGGAAATGAATATGGCAGGCTTTTGTAACTTAACGATGCTTAGTGCAAGCAAATGTCGTTACCAGGAATGGCATCCCATGCGTGCTTAACTAGAGCAGGCATCTGCACTAAACTGCGGTTCCTCACTTGGCCCATGGAGCCTCTGTTTGTAACAAGTATTAGAAAGAGATGTTTGGCATTGCAGTCACGACCACTCGGTCAAAGTTGGAGGCTTTGAACTCTGAATTACCTCCCAAAATACAAACTTTAAGCTGGAGAGAGCTGTATTCACCTGCGACATTTCTGTAAATATTAATTAAATATAAAATAAAAGGGAACAAGGGACATAATCGCTATCAAGATTGGTGCATTCTTTTCTACTGACTCTCAGAAGGAAGCACTTATGCAAAAATGCACTTTTACCTTGTTTATATTTCTTTCACTGAAATTTACTGAACAGGCGCTTTGATGTAAATATCAAATCAGCCGTTTGCTCTTTAGCACAGTAGTCCAAGGTCATTTCACCGAAGGGAGGAAAAATTAAAACTACATGAGACAGTAGCTCTGGAATGAGGCTTTGGGGTTACTACTTAGTTAAAATATCAATTTCAATGACTATGGAAAAAATGAAAAATCATTTTTTCTGCTTAAAATTATCAGACTGCTAATGCAGAATTAGGAACACCATTTTCCTCTCTGCTCTGATTAGTATGGTGTGTAGACGTGTGGACAGTTTTTCAAGGTTATCGGGGCTGACAGACATAATCACTCCATTGTACTGCAGGGCTTCAGACCCTGGGTGTTAAGCAGACCCTGCAGAGGCCTCCCAGCTGGATGAATGCACAACTCATGTTTTTGTTGGCTGGCTGAGTACATAGATGAAAAAGGGGTAAGTCTTTATGAAGTCAAAATTAGACTCTGTTTCTCATTCTAAAGATGACTCAAACGTTATGATGACACATGTTCTGTGATCTAAGTGTACCAGATTCAGAAGGGCACACTCTTCCCGACTTGCCCAGTTGAATATGTCTTTGTTGTTACTCAGAACAAGAGTAGAACTAGCTTTGGAAAGATTAGCAATTTCTTGTTCTGTGTAATACCCAGGTAATACAAATTGTTAGGTTCTCTGTATGCAATGTTTAAATGAGATATCAGTTAAAACCTCTATAATTAATGAAGTGATTTTCCATATTGGAGTACATAAAATTATAAATTGACCTTGAAAGGGAGCTGCTTGAATAAGATCTAGTCAAAGCACATACACACAGCAGCCACTAAAATGAGAGAAATGTTACTTACTAAATCATAAAATAAGCACAATTTCAAGACAATACTGAAAGCTTGAATATGGTGACTTTAAAACACAGAAAAAGTCTATATTTATTTGTAATGTATTGGGTAACTATCCATATTCATTTACTTATGTAGCTCTATGTATTCAAAATCACTTAAAAATACGTGTGTATGTGTAAGGATGATAGCCACGTTTTCATCCTGGCTCCCTCACTTTCTGTACTGCCTGTCGGTGTAACACGGTGGGTCTTCTCCTCCCCAGTGCCTCTTTCTAGGATATTTCACCACCTGCATTCCAGGTAACCTGTCTGAATGCAGCGTTTGCCGCTGCCCATTAGAACAGAATGTGTGGCTAAGATCAGGTGCTGTTGGGTTGTCTGGATAGAACCTTAGATCCACCTCTCACTTTCTGTGTGACCGTTGGTCAATTGTTTGAACTTTCCCTTTTGGGTTCCTCAACTTTAAAATGGGACTATTAACATTACCTACACTGGAACACAGCTAGGGTGGTTAAAAGACGACATTACCTACACTGGAATACAGCTAGGGTGGTTAAAAGACGACATTACCTACACTGGAACACAGCTAGGGTGGTTAAAAGACGTACTATACGAGATACATAAAATGCTTGGAGCGGAGGTGAATACACACTACTGCTAAAAAGAGGTTTAGTGGTGATGGTGGTGGTAGATTTGTGGTGGCAATGGTGGTGGTGGACGTGAGAACCGTGGTGAATCACTGGATGCATATCTAAGAAATGACACACTAGGCTGGGCGCGGGGCTCAGCCTGTAATCCCAGCACCCTGGGAGGTGGAGGTGGGTGGATCACCTGAGTTCAGCAGTTTGAGACCAGCCTGGCCAACATGGCAAAACCCCGTGTCTACTAAATATACAAAAATTAGCTGGGTGTGGTGGTGAACACCTATAGTTCCAGCTACTCAAGGAGGCTCAGGAAGGGGAATTGCTTGAACCCACGAGGCAGAGGTTACAGGGAGCTGAGACAGCACCACTGCACCACAGTGTGGACAACAGAGAGAGGCTCCGTCTCAAAAACAAAACAAAACAAAACAAAAACATAAAAAAACCCAAAGACATACTATTTCCAACTTGGAAATAGCTTGATATCCTCCTTTCTCTGATATGATCGTGTAACCTCCAATGTTAACTGCTACATTAATAAAAATGCAAACACTCATTTAATCTCTCTAGAGGAGACAGGTCGACAATTCACATCCCTGTTTTTTTATATGAGAATATCGAAATGGAAAGCAATATAATAATTTGCCAAGTAATTTTGTGGTTCCTTGCCTCCTACTTCTTAGAAAAATACTTAAATAGTATCAGAACAAAACCCCTTCTGATGTCCTGTCATGAAACCTAAAAGCTCGCCTGAGTTTGCAGCTTCCCGTTCCGTCTTCCACCGCTGTTCATTCGCTGTGGTTCTTCTCCACATGGTTAATTCCCCTTTCCTGGCTCAGGTCTCTGTTTCTTCCCCCCTCCTCCATTAGGCAGTTCTGTTGCATCCATAGCCTCTGCTATATTTACACACACTCTCCACCTGCTCCTTCCCATCATTATTTAAATTTTTTAAACCGAAAATGAAACAAAATTATTTTCCTGAAAAGATCTGCTCTTCTAGTTATTCCTCTGGCTGTCCCCTCACCTTCAAGTATAAACTAATTTCACCAAATTATCTGTGTGTGCTGGCTACCTGTTCTCACCTCCAACTAAAAAGTCCTTATCACATGGCAATTTAGCTTTTACCCCAATTACCTTCTGCCAGTGACCTTGTAAATAACAAACGGCCTTCATGTGCTAAATATTCTTAACATATTTTATATCATACAGTGTTTGATTTCTCAGGATCATTTTATGTTTTTCAGTACTCTTAACCCTCAAAAAATGCTTCCTTCCCACGATACCACTTCTGTGGTTTTCTTCTTTTGCCACCTGCCAGAGCTTCTCCGCATCTTCATTAGGACACATTCACATTGTTTTAAAGTTAGATCTTTGTATGTCTTTCCTTACTGATTGACTCTCAGTCCTTTGAGAGTAGAAATCACACCTCACTCTTCTTTGTATCTCTAGAGACATTACAACGTTCAATTGATGATGAAGCAATGAACAAATGAAAGACTGAATGATTTGTCCTAGAAAGAAGTTTATGCATTCCAGGTTGTTAGAAATCATGCCATCAAGATAAACATTTTTAAAAGCATGGGTTAACTCTGAATGTCATTGTATGTAATAAGGTCTGTCTTATTCCAGTTCATGTTGCTCTACCTGAGAAAAGGTAGTGCATAAAGAGAATAATTTTATTTGGCTCGCTGTTCTGGAGGTTTGGAGCTTCAAGGAGCATGGAGGTGTTGCCTGGTCAGCTTCGGGGAGGACCTCACACTGCACCACAACATGGGAGAGGTGGAAGCAGACACAGAATTAGGTGTGCAAAAGAGGCAGGACACCAGAGGCAAACTCACTCAGTAATAACCTGCCATCTCATGAGTGGATGCATTCCCACAAAAATCAATCCAGTCTTCAAGAGTGAGAACTCATCACCACTTCCATAGCATAGGCTGCCCATGAGGGTGGAGACCCCCACATGACCCTACCCACACACCCCTCTTAGTCCCCACCTCCGGGAAATTTCACCTTCCAACATTGCTGCACTGAGATTCAAGCCTCCAACATAAATTTTGGAAGGGCTATTCAAATTGTACCCAGATGATTAAGTAACAAGAGTAAAATTAGCTAATTTTATAGGTAAAATAACGTGATGCAGATTAATTTAATAAATACAAGAATATGACATCATGCAAATGAGTAAGTTAATCAACTAACAATTTATGTTTATCCCTTTGTTTCCATTTTCTTCATACACCCTTAGCTGGTAAAATCTGCCTCTCCCATCCCAACTTCATTTTACTTAGAAGCAAACATTTACCTCCTATCAAATTTATAAATTAAATCTGTTACTAGGAAGCTCATGGACACCGTTCAGTGAACACTGATTGAAACTGTGAAGTTCTGAGCCAGGTCCTGTGAAGGAAGTAAAGAAAAGCAGTGAGATGTCAGTCTTGTCTTTGTCCTTCGAGCATCATACAGTTATGGGGGGACTGTGAAAAGTTTGTGGAAAAATAAAAGATAAAAAATATAGCTTTATTGATCAACATAAGCTTCATGAAGCGCGAGACACTTTCGTAAGCAATGCTACCCACCATTTAGTTCATCCCAAAGAACTGAGGGTCCTTGGAATTTAACAATGTCAATGTGGTCTTTACATTATTAACAGAGGAAAAATAAGTGTCCTTTAAAGACTTTTTAAGCTTAGAAAAAAAAAGAAGCCAGACACAGCCAAATCAGGACTGTGATGCCTAATGATTTTGCATTGAAACTGTCACAACTTTGCGCTTATTTGATGAGAGTGATGAGCAGCAGCACTGTTGGGATGGAGGACTCTGCGGTGACGCTCTTCTGGGCATTTTCTGCTGGAGCTGTGGCTTACCCCAATACTCTCACAACAAGTGGTTGTTACTGTTCTTTGCCCCTCCGGAAAGTCAACAAGCAAGGTGCCTTGTCTGCTTTTGCTCCACGTCCACCTCCTGGTAGCCATTGCTTTGATTGTGCTTTGTCTTCACGATTGTGGTGATAAGGCCACGTTTCCTCTCCTGTTGTAGTTCTTTGAAGAAATGCTTCAGGCTCTTGATCCCACGTGTTCACAATTTCCACTGCAAGCTCTTCTCTTGTCTTTAGCTGAGCTGACCACACTGGACTTGGCATGCATCAAGTGGAAAGTTTGTTCAACTGAAATTTTTTAGTCAGAATTGGGTAAGCCAAACCCATGGAGGAGACTATGGTGTTGGCTATTGTTTCTGCTGTTGATCATTAATCTTCTTCAATTAAAGAACAAGCAAGATGAATTTTTCCCTCACAAATTGATGTGGATGGTCTGCTGCTGCAGGCTTCATCTTCAGCACCATCTCATCCTTTCTTAAAAAAACTTTTCTCTTTGTAAACTGCTGATTTCTTTGGGGCATTGTCTCCATAAGCTTTTACTAAGCATCAGTGATTTCCTACTTTTTCACCCTAATGTCACTATAAATTTGATGCTTGTTCTTGCTTAAATTTTAGCAGAATTTATGTTGCTCTGATAGGAACGCTTTTCAAACTCACATTTTAACCTTCATAGTTCCTCATACTAGATCCTGTTCAGACACGTTGTAAGAAGTTAGTGTGAGTTCATTTTGGTGCAAAGCATTTTTGAAATCTATGCACAGTTTTATTCATAATGTGTTTTTCATGAACTTTTGAAGACTCCTTACATGTTTAAAGATTACGAAAGCAGATACACAGTGATAAATACCACTCCACAGTTTGGAGGTAAGGTGGTGGGAGGTTGGTAGTGGTAAGAATGCTCCATAGAGGAGACGGCATTACTTCAGCAGCTTGAATAATCATACACCGAATTATGTATTAAAATCTAAATTGAATACAGCACTGACATACAGGGAAAAAATAAAGATCCAAGCTTTAAAGTGAAAATGGGTTTATAAATTTTTAGTTTAATTCTTGCTCAGTTAAAAGTGTCCCCAAAATACCCTTAGAATAGGCACAAAATGGTCCACTGATGACTTTGTTTTTCACTTAGACAAACATAATCTTTGTGTTTGAGGGCTATTACGCTTCCTTTTAAAAAATAGTTGACATGTTTTCTATAAACTATAATTTTACTAAAATTCAAATGATTTTCTGCCAATTAAAATTAGTATTTCTATATTCAAGTATCACATTGTTTATACAGGTATTGATGGACTTACCACCTATGCAACTTACGACCATTCGACTTTACGACCACAATCGCTAGCCACGACTGCTCCGCGTCTGGCAGCGCAAACGTTGCCCAGCTGGGCGGATGACAGTGCGGACCAGCTTCCGGCAGCACTACCTTCTCCGCATGCACCATTTCAACTGTACACATAGCCTACTCAACTTACGACCAAATCGTGTTATGACCGGTCCGTGGTCCCGACCGTGGTCGTAAGTCGAGCACTAGCTGTATTGTCCACTGGAACATGTTTGGCCATCAACCTTATACTAAAATTATTTCTCTATATGTGTGTTCCCTCCACCAACTGCTGAGCTCTTGGCACCTGCAATGTGGATTTTCATGTTTGGAATTTATATAACTGTTTTCAATGCTTTGCGCATACTATAAACTCACTAAATATTTACTGAACTGAACTGTTAAAATGCACTGGAAAATACAGTGATGAAATGGCTAAAATGTGCTGGTGAAAAAAATTTCATTCAAATTTAAAAACGAATACATGGTTTTGTAGTCAAACTTATTCACAAATTGGGGATTCTCTGGATTACAGGAAGTCTCAATGCAGCTATTATTTCAAGGTGCATGTAGTGTCAGAACTGGAGAACTCTTGTATTCACGTAAGTCATTTTCATATGAAGAAATCATTTCTGAAAATATCTTCTAAACAAATGTTAGACAATATTTAAAAGTATTCTCTTCACAGGCTCTGTTCTACACAGGTTTGTGCCTCTGTTCTAAGAGTCTGCTTCAGATCAATAAACATTTTATTGTGTATTTATGCACCAGGTACTGAAGTAGACCCTGGGGATACACTGGTGAGTGATAGAACCAAACCTCATAATAGGTGGAGATACTGTCTTTTGACTGCACTCATGTGGTAGCCATTATTTCCATGCGGACATTCAGCCGTTGAGCTGAAGAACCGAAGCTAAGCTACGCTTTTGACTGGGAGGAATTTCATGTCCAAACTCCTGAGTTGTTCGGTCTCCGTAAACTTCTTCCCTTCCCCTGAAATTGCTCTGTAGAATGATTCATGGAGATTTGGTAAATGCTTTATCAAGCTTACAAAAAAAAATTATATAAGGACAGTTGAGGATTGCTCTTTGAAAAGTGATTTACCACTTTTATTTATTCCCCTATAATTCACATCATGTACTGCAAATATCTGAATGTTATTTTCTTGTTCTGAATTTTTGTAATTATTTACCATAAGTAAATAGGTAATTTTATTTCTTCTGAATTCTTATGTTCTTAGAATTCCATCAATGTTTTTCTCAGCAACAGAAAGATTTGTCAATGTCTGGAGTTAGGATATGAAACAGTGTTTAAGAAAGATGTGTGTGACTCACTTCCTGTTCTCAGTTAGAAGCACCTGCTGCCTTGGTCAACACAGTTATCATGGCTTCGAGGATGCCACACAATGTGCTCTAAATTTTTCCCACATTCCAGACTCAGCCCAAACTACTGCATGTACTGCTACATGCTTAAAAACAGCATATGATACAATGTGGTATCTCATAGTTTCCACCAAACACTGCAGATCAGTGTTCAACCAGAAATAACCCAAATTTGTTAAATGAACAAAGTGAACCTGGTTAATATCATTGGTCTGAGGGCTGCATTCTACTAAAGCAGAAATGTAAAAGTTTAAAGACCAGTTGTCTTTCATCTTCATAAATCCAAATAAACATGTTTGTCTAACTAAATCCATCTTTGACTCAGGAATTGAGCCTACCACTGCACTGTCGGTCTAAGTCTTCCTATGAAAAGTGCGTGCAATGTCACCCAGATCACCCCAGCTCCCTCCCTATTCCAGCTTCCGTGCCAGTTCTTGGCAGAAGAAAAGTTCTTTTTCTGAGTTTCACTTCCCCCCCTTTTCTTTCTATCCTCAGCAGCTACTCTACAGCAAGGTTGGTTACGTCACATTCCCCAATGCTCTTAGTGACTCTTGCTCTGTTTCTCACAGCGTTTTCTACCCTCCCTCCCCTCCCCTAAATGGTGGCCTCTTTTTTTTCCACTTACTTATTCAAACACAATGAGCACCTAGCTGAGTCAGGCATGGTGCTGAGCCGTGGAATGGATTGGTGAATAGGGTCACACAACCTGTTCCAGGGTGTTTGTTAAGCTGCGTTCTCCCAGGAACAGCGCAAACACTCACGGGGAAAGGAGTGGGAGAACCATTGTGGATGGAGAAATTCAGAAAGGATTCTAACAAGAGGAAACATTTGAGCTCAAAAGACTTCAAGGAGTAGTTCCCATATTCGAATGTCCTTCGCGTGGGCCTTA